TTTTTTTTTTTTAAAGCATTGCCTGGGCAACAGCTGCTGATGCAGCACAAGGAACTTCCCTTGTGTGACGGGAGGTAAGCCTCGGTGGCCATTTTGTGGCTTGCTGGGTCACCTGCAGCAGCAGGATTGTTGTTTTTTTGTGGAAACCATTTTGTGGCTGTGCCCACCAATGCTCCCTCTAAGCTGTGGAGTCTTGTGAGCAAAATTTCTACTTTGTGAGCTGCTGGCATTAAAGTTGTGAGCGAGCAATTTGGCTACTGCACAAATTAGTTTGCTCTGGAGCCACCCTTCCTGAGCTAAGACAAAAATGTGTGAGCTGGAGGCTAAAAAACGGTGAGCTAGCTCACACTAACTCAGCTTAGAGGGAACACTGGTGCCTACCACTCTGTGTTAGAATGCCAGTGGTGCCCACAGGCTCAAGAAGGTTAGAGACTTCTGTCCTAAGGCCTCTTAGATGGCCATATCACTGAATCAGACCCCTGGGTCCATCAAGGTCTGTACTGTCTACTCAGACTGGCAGCGGCTCTCCTGGGTCTCAGGCAGAGGTCTTCCCCATCACCTACTGCCTGGAGATGCTGGGGATTGAACCTGGGACCTTCTGCATGCCAAGCAGATGCTCTTCCACTGAGCCAGATCAAGGTCTTTCCCATCACCTACTTGCCTGTTTCTTTTAACTGGAGATGCTGGAAATTGAACCCGGGACCTTCTGCATGCCAAGCAGATGCTCTACCACTGAGCCATAGAGCTGCTCACCGAGCGTTGCTGTCACACAGTCTGCAATTGGAGCTATCCTTCCATCTTTACCCTGCCTTTGGTACTCGGCCACTCCCTTAATCCGCCCAACAACCCCGTGAGGTAAACTTAGAGAGAATGGCTGGTCTGAGGTCAACCAGTGAGTTTCATGGCTGGGGATCTAAACCTGGGTCTCTCAGATCCTAGTCTGCTACTCTAGCCTATCAGTCCCCAACCTTGTTGCGTTTAGAGGCGCTTCTGGAATGTTGAAAGAGGCTAGTAGGCGTGGCACCAAAATGGCTGCCATGGAACTGTTGCCTCAAAATGGCTGCCATTGAACTGAGGCCAATAGCAGCATTGGAATGTCCGACGCCAAGTTTCCTCATATGGTAGAGGCAGCCAAGTGTCCTCATATGATACGGGCAGCTGTTTTTAGATAGGTGTTCCCTGCTGAGTTAATGCCCCTGGAGTCTTCAAAAGTACCTGCTGTCTTAATGAGTGGGAAGAAAGCCGGGTGTGGTTCTTTGCTTTGGGGGCCAAACCAGGTGATGGTCCAAGAGCTCATTGGGTGCCATGTTGGATCACTGCCTTGACCCTTACTGAGTCACTCATTTGAGTGCCTTCCAGGTATGGTTCTGTAACGAACTTTCCTTCCAGATGACTGGAGCTCTGAGAGACTCTCCAATGGGTACCAGCTGGGGGATGTTATGAACATCCAGGCAAACGTGAATGGAGAGAACCACGTGGCTCTGAGACTTTTTGTGGACAACTGTGTAGCCACCATGAGCCCAGACAGGGATTCCAGCCCCAGATATGCTATCATTGACAACCACGGGTAAGAACTTCCTAGGGTCTGCACTGGGTTGCATCTGCAGGACGGGACAGGAAGCATTGCTTGTGGGACAGGAAGTATTGCTTGTGGGACAGGAAGCATTCTTGATGGCCACCTTCTCTTCCAGCTGTCTTGTGGACGGGAGATCAGATTCCGGCTCTGCCTTCTTATCCCCGAGGGTTGCAGAAGACTCGCTCCGGTTCACAGTAGATGCCTTCAGGTTTACAGGAGACCCTCGAGACTTGGTGAGACCTTGGCTTGCAGTCTGGCCTAAGCAGAGACACAAGGATAGCTTATTGCATTTACTTCTCCCCCGCTCCCCTAGTTTCAGGGAGCAGTTATGTTAGACTGTAGTAGTAGAACAAAATTTGAGTCTAGTAGCACCTTGAAGACCAACTAAATTTTCCAGGGTGCAAGCTTTCATGAGAATCTAACAAAGTGTGCTTTATTTATTTATTTATTTATTTAGACATTTTTACCCCGCCCTCCCCGCAAGCGGGCTCAGGGCGACTTACATGAAAACGTATGCACTGGGAAATCTTGGGTGGTTTTGAAGGTTCTGCTGAACTCAAACTTTGTTCCAGCCGCCCTGACCTGGATAGCCCAGGCAAGTTAAGCAGGGACGACTCTGGCATGTACTTGGATGGGAGACCACCTTGGAATACCAGCCGTCGGGAGGCGGGGGCAGGCTTTATTCAGCCACCTCTCTGGATATCCTCCAGGCCCCCAGCAGGGGTCAGTCACCAGAGGGAAGACTAACTAAATTTTCCAGGGTGCAAGCTTTCATGAAAATCTAACAAAGTGTGCCTTGACATGAAAACTTATGCACTGGGAATTCTCGGGTGGTTTTGAAGGTTCTGCTGAACTCAAACTTTGTTCCAGCCACCCTGACCTGGATAGCCCAGGTAAGTCCAATCTCGGAAGTTAAGCAGGGACGACTCTGGCAAGTCCTTGGATGGGAGACCACCTTGGAATACCAGACGTTGGAAGGCGGGGGCAGGCTTTGTTCAGCCACCTCTCTGAATATCCTCCAGGCCCCCAGCAGGGGTCAGTCACCAGAGGTCACCATGACTTCCAGGTGCACACACAAGTCAGTCATCAGGTCACCTGTCAAAGAGAACAATTCAGGTGTATTAATCAGTATAAACAGACGAACAATGCTGTCAACGCAGAGGTACTCCAACATCTATTCTGAGTTTTGGCTAACGTATCTTAGACTCATATCAGTTCTAAAATACTCAAAGCAAGATATGGACATGGGACGCTCTAGACCAGTGATGGCGAACCTTTTAGAGACCGAGTGCCCAAGCTGCGACCCGAAACCCACTTATTTATCGCAAAGTGCCAACACGGCAATTAACCTGAATACTGAGGTTTTACTTTAGAAAAAAACAACTCATACATTAACCTAAGATGATCCAAACAAAGTAAGGAAAGAAATCCCAAATGCTTTCGTTTACTTAAAATTATTTGGCATAGGATTCGACACTTTAATGATGGTCTGGGCCTGGCTGCAGTGATGGCACGCGTGCCCACAGAGAGGGCTCTGAGTGCCACCTCTGGCACCCGTGCCATACGTTCGCCACCACTGCTCTAGACCGTTGGAAGTATCTAGCCCTCATCATTTAATATAGACAACGAGAACTAGGTTTTAAATGACATTCAGGACTGCATTTGATTGGTTTTCGTTGTGACTTTAATTGGTTTATATTGTGAGCCAACTTGAGTTCTGGAAAGTAGAAACACAGCTAATATTCTAAATATTAAATCTGCATACATTGGCACTGGACTTCTGCCTCAAAATATCTAAAAACGGTATCCCTCTGTTCAAAAATATCCACTGTCATTTGTAAAGCGGCTTGGTCCCGGTCTTATACTAAAAATTCCCAAACCTTGCTATACTGTTATTAATATTTTTTTTTTAATGTGTTGGCTTCTAGATCTACATAACTTGCCACTTGAAAGTGACTGCTGTCGACCAGGCTCCCGATCCTGTGAGGAAAGCGTGCTCTTTCGGCAAAGGAAACAACATGTGAGTAAGCTGACCTGCAAGTCCGTATAGGAAGTAAGAGAAGAAGAGATTGGAGTTATACCCTGCCATTCACTACCCAAAGGAGTCTCAGAGTGTCTTACAATCTCCTTTCCCTTCCCCTCCCCACAACAGACACCCTGTGAGGTAGGTGGGGCTGAAAGAGCTCTTTCGAGAACTGCCCCTGAGAGAACAACTCTGAGAGAACTTGTCACTGACCCAGGGTCACACCAGCAGCTGCATGCAGAAGAGTGGAGAATCAAACCTGGTTCTCCCAGATTCATCCACACTCTTACCCGCTGCACTAAACTGGCTCTCTGATACTCTAGCCTACCAGTCCAGCCAGCCAGGGAGAGGAAAGGCTAACTCAAATTACATATCCTATTTCCCTTTCTAACAGGGTTGATCCTAAACTTGGGACTTACAGTGGGTACGAAGAATGAGCTTCCAAATGGGCCACTGGTGAATGAGAGGAACGGAGTAATGCAGTATTGGTGTAATAGTTAGAATTGGACTAGAAACTGGGAGCTGTAGGTTCAAATCCCCACTACCCTAGTGAGCTTCATGACCGACTGTTTCCCACAAATGCGGGATGTATCATGTATTAGGGCTACCAGGTCCCTCAAACCTGCCAGTGGGGGTGGGGGGTGGACCTATCAGGAACGGGGAGTATTGCTGAAAATGTGACTTGCCTACGTGACCCGGAAGTGACATCAGCAACCGGGGGGGGGGGGTGCTCCAGTTTTTGGGCAAAACTCAATGGGA